GCTGTGGCCCGCACCCACTCCACCACTAGCCTTGAGAGCGGAGTGCCATGGCAGATGGAACTTCGCCCCAGAAGAGCTGTAAGTCACTGTGTCCGCTGCCACAACCATGGCTTCACTAACCAAATCAAGAGCCACATGCACTTCTGTTTCTTCCAGACCTGCCAGTGTCACAAGTGTGCCTTCTTCTCGTGAGTGCGGTGTCTGACGAGGGGAAGGGGAGGGCGGGCCTCCTCTGAGTGTGACTGACTTTAGACCTGCATTCCCCACTTTAGGAAACACGGCAAGGCCTTGCCTGTGGAGAGTGCCTTGAAGAGGGAGCGGGGGGCCTGCCTAGGGAGGCGCCTGACTGGAGCACTGGTAAAGAGTGGGGCCGCACCTCCCAAGAATCGCAAACCTGTCAAGAAGTTGGCTGTTGAAGCAGGAGTCTTCGGTGAGTGTCTCTGGCCATGGAGGGAACCTGGGTTTGGGTGTAGGGGGCATGAGTAGTTCTGTCACCATTCCTACCACCCAACTTTGATGTGGCCTTGGGCAAGTTACCTCTTGGGCCTCAGCTTCCCCAACTGTAAAATGCCATCAATATCATCTGCCACGCGTTGGTGGGAAGGAGAGATCTGGGGGTGCGGTGGGGTGGGTCAAAAAGGTCCACAGTGAGATGACACCTCAGATTGGGGGTGACGTAGAGCAGGGTGGGGTAAGGGGGGAAGACTCGCCTAAGCTGTCCCCAGTCCCCCATAGCTGGGAAGGAGAGCATCGTGCCCCCAGTTTAAGGCCCAACCCTGTGCAACCCCCAGGGAGGTAAGGAGAGTCTGGGGCCAGCGGGGGAGGCTCCCACCTCAGCCACTTCCCAGACCCCTTCCTCTGTGTCTTGAAGACCTGGGTTGCATCTCTGTCCCTACTGCAACTTGCCACGTGACCTTGGGGGAAAAGATACTTCTCCTCTCTGGACCTCGATTTCCCTACTCTTGCAAAATGAAGAGTAGGACTGGCTGGTCTTCAAGGTCTTCTCAGCTCTGACATTCTGGGCTCCTATCCTCATCCCAAAACACGCCCACATCTCCTCTCTATGGCCTGCCTGGTACCGGTCTCCAACCTGTGCTCTCTGCTCCTGCAGGCAACCGCCCAAGGGACTCCGCTGACTGGTCAGACTCCAGAATCTTTGTGTCTGTCCTGGATTCCAGCAGCCTTGATGAAGCAACGAACAATTTCTCCTTCCAAGGATTTGCACAGGACCCCTGTCCTGTCCAGCATGTGAGTAGAGTGAGAAGGACACGGAGCTAGTAGTGGATTGAGATACTGGCTGCCCGTCCCTGTGCTTGATGCCATGGGAGGTGGAAGGAGGAAATGGAGGCAGTGGAAGAGGAGGAGGGGAGGAGTAGGAGAAGGCAGCATCTCAGGCTAACAGGCAAGGACAGGGCCCTCCCAGCTTTGCCGTTTTCTATTTGTGAGAGTCTTGGGACAAGTGAGTTTACGTTTCTGAGTCCCTCTTTCTTTGTCAGTGCACTGAGAGGGATCAATATTCTGCACCCACAGCATTGACCAGAGGACTAGCATAAGACCTGCCACATAGCAGGCCTTCACCAAACAGAGGCTGTTATTCCACATGGGACAGATTGATGGGATAGAAAGTCCTGCTGAAAACGGGGAGGGGCGTGATGGTGAGGGTGGGCCACAGAGGCCCAGGTGAGAGTCCAGAGGCCAGCAGAGAAACCTTCCTGGAACTGAACCAAGCTGGGCCTTCAAGTCCCATGGGGACTGGGGACTGTGGAAGCAAGAACCAGGCCCTGGACAGGGACAGTACTCTCATCGCTCCAGGTGCTTTGCAGATGAAAACACAGACACCTGGGATTTCCCATAATCTTCACGGTTGCCCTGGCAGTTTTGAAAAAGCTGGCAGGAATTAGTGTCTCGGGAAAGACACAGAGAAAAGAGGTAGACAAGAAAACAGGCCAAGCAGGGGAAGGGACTTGCCCAAACCACAGAGACTAAGGGTGAGTAGGTGTTTGGGCTCCCACATTCAGAGACCGCAAAATCCTGCCCCTTTCTGACGACTGGCGGTATGTGTCTTCCAGAGGGTTTAATCCCCTGGCCTTGCCTTTCCCTGTTTCTGGACACTCAACTCCAATCCTCCAGCCCTACGCCACTCTTGACCATCTTCTGCTGCAGCCACGGATCCTGGGAAAACAGTGGGGCCCAGGACCCTGGCAGGAGCCAACCTTAGTGAAAGGGAAGAGCAGAACGCCTTGGGGAGGGTGGAGCCTTCAGTGGAACTGGGGACTGAAGGGGCACTTGTCGCATGAGGTGGGGAGGTGTGGGTTCCCAGCTCCCATTCTCTCACACCCTTTCCTTTGCAGGCTCCCGCAGCTTCTGACCAGGCTTTGGTTTCTGTCACCTCAGAGTGGCAGCAGATGCTGGAGGCGGCCGAGGCTCTGCTGACTCTGAAACAATCTGCCCAGGCCCCTTCAGGCTCCATGTCCTCACTCCAGCTCTGCGTCGCATCAGGTAGCGGGGTCCTCAAAAGGAGAACACGGGGTGGGGCGAGTTGGGAAACGGGAGGACCCTGAGGTAAGCGGGGCCTAGCTGGAAACGCAGGGATGGTGCGTTGAACCTCCTTGGGCCCAGGTACCCGAGCTCCTCAGTCTGACGCCTGAGATGGCAGCTGATGGTTGTTCAGCGAATCATCGGTTTAGCGAGCTTTGTCCTCAAGAGCAAATGTCCAGTGCTATGATGTCAAGAAACATGGAAACTGGGGACCTGAGAGTGGCAGGGGCTTGCCCTAGGGTATGCAGCATATTAAGGGGAAGAACCAGATCTCCTGACTCTCAGCCCAGAGCTTTCTGCCCAGACCTTGCCACGTGCTGTGGTCTGGGGAGGACATACATAGGTGATGTGAGCCTAGTCTGGAAGGAGATCTGGTCCCTGCCTTGAGGGAGCTTCTAGTCTGGATGTGGAGCCTGGATGCCTTCACAAGTTGTGTTTTGCCACTAAAGCTCAATGATGAGACTGGAGCAGAATGATTGGAGGAAGTCTGAGGAGGGATAGACACCTGGGGAGGTTTGAGAAGGAAGGCTAGGCACTCCCAGACCAAAATGGTGGATGGGGTATGGTGGGTGAGTGAAGCGGGAACCCTGGAGGCGCTGCTGGAACAGAAGGAGATGAGGCTGCAGGTGTCTGGCATGCCAGGCTTCGGAGGTGACATCAGCGACTGTGGGTGGTGAGGAGCCAGGGACTATGTGAGCTGGGGGGAGCATGCTCAAAGACCCTGGGCTGGGCAAAGATAAATGTGGTGGCGGTGATAGAGCGACTGGAGGAGGCAAGAGTTGAGATGGGCAACTCAGCGAGGAAGAGTTCTGTGCAAGAGTCCAGGTGGCAAAGCCTCGATTGGGCGGAACACAGTCGAGAGCCGGGAGGGGAAATGGATGTGAGCTGGCCTTAACCCCTTCCTTTGTCTACAGCTCCTGCCGGAGATAGAGGTTTCCAGCCTGCTCGCCCCTCTCTCTAACCCAGGCCGGCTAGCCCTGTTTCTCAGCCTCTTGGACATGCAGCATACATCTCCCTCTTGAGCTAGAAGCCCAGAGGAGGAGGCCTCACTAGAGTACTGCCTACTCGTGCATTTGCAAAATGTTTAATGCTCAAGACGTTCAATGTTGTTGTTGTTGTTGTTGTTGTTTTAAAAAAAAGAGGCTTCAGAGGAGGAGGCCCCACTAGAGTACTGTTTACTTACGTATTTGCAAAATGTTTTAACACGTGAGATGCTTACCATGTTTTTAAAAAGCCTTCAGGTGCCTCTCTCTATAAGCTTTCAGACCCTTTTTATTATACAGTGCAATTCCTTGGCTGAGGGCAGCCTTCTTGTACCTCCATCCTTTACTCCCTGGGATCCTGGGGCCTTTTTATGCCTCTTATTACTAAGAGACGGTTGTGCAATCTAAGCTGATCAGTCTCGAAATAAGGTTCTGTGTCAGTTCATATGTTTATATGCCAGAGTTTTTGTTTGACTCATGATTGGAAACATACCGGTGTGTTCATGTACGTATCCATGTATGTGAAAATACAAAGATTGTTTTTCATTTTTTGCCTAGGTTTGTGTGTGAACAAATAATAAACCCTTATTGTTGTAAGCACTGAGGTATAGGTGTTGTTTGTTGCCACAGTCTAACCTAGACTCTCCTGACTCTAACAGACTTGTTCAAATCACCTATCAAAGTGAAAATCTCCTTAATAACGGATTTCTTAGCATGGCCAGATAAGATAATGGTAGAGGGATTTCCGGTCAAGATGGTGGAGTAGGTAAATGCTGTGCTGGCCTCCTCTCACAATCACATCAAAATTACAATCAAACTACAGAACAACCATATTGAGAACCTCCTGAAGTCTAGCTAAACAGAAGTCCTATAACTAAGGACCTGCAGAAGAAACCACTTTGAGACTGGAAGGAGGGGCAGAGATGTGGAACGGGCTGGTCCCACATCTGCGTGTGACCATTAAACATTGGGAGGGATATCTCGGCTGCAGAGGTTCCCCTGCCTCCCTCCCGGAGGAGCAAGTGGTACCAGTGCCAGACCAGGCTCCCCAGCCCAGGGTTCCAGTGCCAGGGAGAAAAGTTCCCATAACTTCCGGCTGTCAAAACCAGCAGAGATTGTGGCTGGGTGAGATGGAGGGCGGCTGCATTCCCAGGCGCTCCTCTTAAAGGGCCCACACACGGACTTA